CAAATCCTCTCCCTTCTCTCTTTGTATCCAAACCAGTGACAAACTACTTCCAAATACCATCCAAATGTATCCACTACTTTAACTCTCATATACTTTATCAAACCTTAAATCTTATTCATTCTTGTACCAGCCTCCTGCTCCTACTCTCAAAATAGGCTTTTTAAATCAAGATTTCTCACCTGTTCTTAATATCATACTTTTAGAATTCCCAATTGTACATAGTACAGTGGAACCACTCTAGTGTTCAATCAACAAGCATTTATTAAGCACCTATATGCTAGGCACTGTGCTAGACTCCTTGGGAAACAAATGCAATAGTGAAACAATTCCTCTTTTTAAGCAGCTTATACTCTAACCTAAGGCCCATGAACTTGCTTTTAAAGTATTTGTATTTCAATATAATTAGTTTCTCTTGTAATCTGATGTGTTTTATGCATTTTAAAATATTATTCTGATAAGGGGTTCACATGCCTCACTAGACTGTCAAAGGAGTACAAGACACAAAAAAGGTTACCGTACTTTTATGATACATGTTCACAAATGATTATATTGAAGAGAAGTACAAAATAAATACATGGTGATGGCAGGTGGTGGGGCACTAACAATTAGGAGAAGCAGAAAAGTCCTGTTGGAAGAGGTGTTACTTGAGCTGAACTAGGGTTTCCAAGAAGCAGAAGTGAGAATGGAATGCATGGATTGGAGGGGAAGGGGGGCGGGTATTTGTCCTGTGTAAGGAAGGAAGGAAACATGCATTTATCAAATGCTATTGTATTACATGCCAGGCACTTTCCTAAGTGCTTTACAAATATTATGTCATCTGGTCCTCACAATAACTCCATGAGGTAGGTGCTAATATTGGCTCCATTTCACAAATGAAGAAACTGAGGTTAAGAGAGATTAAGTGATTTGCCCACAGACAAAGTGTCTGAAGCAGGATTTGAACTCGTCTTCCTGATTCTAGGACCAGCACTCTATCCAATGAACAACTATTATGGAAGTGAGAAATGGAAAGTCACATATGAAGAAGAACAAGTAATACAGTTTAGCCAGAATATATGGGGTGTGAAGGGGATTACTAAATCTGAAAAGTTAGGCTAGAACCAGACTAATAAGGACTTTAAATGCTAAAGAGGTCTATTCTAAAGATGTGTGTTATAAAGGCAATGAGGTGTCACTGAAGCTTCTTGAGCAGAGGAATAGCAGAGTCAGACCTGTGCTTTAAGATCATTTTGGCAGAATGGATTTGAGAGGAGAAAGACTGGATAAGGGGAAGCCAATTAGAAGGCAATAGTCCAGGAAAGAGATATTGAAGGCCTGTACTAAAGTGACTGTAGTGTGAGTACAGAAAAGCAAGAGATGTTAAAGAACTGAGAACTGTTGGCGAATGATGAGAGAACAGAGAGTAGAGGAAGACTCCTCAGCTGCAAATTAGGGTGACTGAAATGGTAATACTTTCAGTAGAAATAGGAAAGGAGGAAGAAGGTCTAAGGGCAAGATACCGAATTCTGTTTTAGGCATATTTAATTTGAGATGCTCGTGAGCAGCCCAAGTGAAGACATCCCACAGGCAGTTAGTTGTTGATGGAACTCCAAAAAGACAAAAGCTCTGTGTATGTAGATTTGGGAGTCATCTGCAAAGAATTATAGTGACTGATGAGATAATAAAGACAGTGCAGAGAAAGACATTAAGAGGTCCCAGGGCAAAGCCTGGTGATCATGATCATGTTAGGGTGCAGGACACAGATGATGACAAAGGATCAGACTAACAGACAGAAAAAGAACCATGATGGAACAGAGTCACAAACATTCAGGGAGAATACTCAGGTGAAGGAGTTAATAGTGGCAGATACTGCGGAGAAGTCAAGAAGAATTAGGAGGGAGAAAAGGCTATGGGGATTTAACAATTAAGAGACCACTGGTATTTTTTGTTGTAACAAAGAGCTCTCTTAAAGAGCGAGGGGGAAGGAATACAGGATGTCAAAACAGAAAGTAACAATAAAAATCTTTTTAAAAAATCCTTCATGACTGTAGAGAATGCAGTTTCAGTTCATTGACGGGGATGAGACCCCAAAGGAGCAAGTATAAAGTGAGAAAGAGGAGAATAATGAGTATAGACAACTTTTTCTATAAGTATGACTATCAAAGGAATGAGCAATAAGATGTTAGCTTAGGGGAAAGGTGGGGTCAAGTAAAGATTTAAGGATCGGAGAGAGCTAAGCATGTTTGAAAGCAACAAAGACACAGTCAGTGGATAAGAATGGGCTGCAAATTGAGAAGAGATAATTGAAAAGGCAAGTTGCTGACATGAATTCTGTGTAGAACTAGAGAGGAGAGAGACCCTAATTGATGACTTAAGTTTTTTTAGTGAAGAATGAAGCAAGGTCCTTTGCTGGGAAGGGTTGGGGTGAAAGTGGAAGGGAAGCATGATGTGTATGCTGCTTGAGAAGAGCAGGTATGGAAAAACAATAGCTGGAGAAAGTGCAATTAGAATGCTGTTCACAGTACAGTAAAAGTACTAGTGTGTAGTAATGAGGGACACAGTTAAGAATGGTAACGAATTTAGTGAAGCCAGTCTGAACTTTTCTTCCAGCAGTACTGGGAGCGGCTGACATACGGTGGGGGTACAGGGTGTTTAGTTGAACCTATAGGTGTAACTTGCAAGCTGAAGACCTATAACATTACATCAAGCTTTTACTGCTAGTAACTGTCTCCCTACCCAGGGACCCCTCCCCCTCCCCCAAGATTTAGTTGGTAGAAGATTGAAATATATGAATCATGAAGTTATTTTGTATGAAAATCTTCAGAATGTATTAGGTACTACTACAGTTTCTCTATTTGTTACAGTACAATGTAGCAATGCACTGCCTTTTCAGTAGCAAGTATTTAAATTCCCACTGAGCACACTGTACCAATCTATGTTCTTAAGAAAAACTTGAGCATGAACAAGCATAAAACGATTTTAAAGTTACCTGGCTCCCAAATGCTCTATGATTCCTTTACAGACTCCTAAATATCCTCCTGACTATTCCACACTTGCCTTTAGCTCTTCCTTCCTTTCTGCTCTAAATGTAGGCTGTTTCAACTGTCTTCAAGCATTCATCCCATCCTAAACAAACTCAGGACCCCAGGGCACAGTACTGCATAGTATTGTGTCCAGGGGTCCTGAGTTTGTTTAGAATGAGATATCTATATGTAGACATATCTATATCTATTCCTGTGTGATTTTGCTCATGGTTTTTTAAGCCTAAGTCCCCTTCTGCTCCCAAGATGGATGTCCTAGAAACAGAGGGGCAAGTTCGTTGTTGTTCAGTTGTTTCAGTGGTGTCCAACTCTTTGTGACCCCGTCCGGGGTTTTCTTGGCAAAGATACTGGAGTGGTTTACCGTTTCCTTCGCCAGCTCATCATTGTACATATGAGGAAACTGAGCCAAACAGGGTTAAGTGACTTGCCCAGGATCACAAGCTAGTAAGGGTCTGAGGCCAGATCTGAACTTGAGTCTTCTTGACTCCAAGCCCAGCACCACCTTTTTAAAGCCCCTCCAGCACCTTCTTAGCATTCCAAGGTTTCAGCTGAAACAAAGACTATGATGACTACCATGAACAAGCCCTGAGTAGAGTTCTTTTGGCTTCACTGGGATACAGTGAAGGAAAATGCTCTGCGAGCCAACGTAAGCAAGAGGGTGAAGCCCTAGAGCCTTTCACAAGCAGCAAACAACCTTCTTAATTAAAGTATCGTTCACGCCCGGTTCATTAGCCTCCACAGAACCTGTTTCCACGTCGGAGATCGGGCTAGACTGAACTTCAGGCTGGCCGGGAGTCGAGAACGTGGTCCCAGGGCTCCCACCCCATCTCCCCGTCATCCGGGGGGGTACAGTAGGGGTGGGAATGGTGGGGGGCGGGCCCGGGTGTCGACGCGGCCCCCGCCCGCCCGGATGTGACGGTGCCACCGCCCGGCGTACTCCCCCTTCTTCAGTCCCCCTCTCTGCCCCCCCCGCCCGTAATGTGAAAAGCACCGGAGAAGGGACGAACGTCCAGCTACCGGGGTCACGTACCCAGGTGAGGAGGCTCTCGCACAGCTCCACCCGCTCCAAGGACTCCACGTTAAACATCTTCCAGTCTGGGGTCCAGGCAGCGGCACCACCCTCCCCGCCGAGCCGGAAACCGCCGCCGCCGCCGCGGCCTGTGTCCGGAGAGTCTGGGCCGCTACGCCGGCCTCCCCTGCCCACTCCCGCCGCCGACGCTTCGCCCCGGCCCGTGCAACTGCCCCGGGCCCGTCACCCCTGTTTTCCCACGTCCTGCTCCCGCCCGCGCGCCGGCTCTGCGCGTTCCCGACCACGCCCGCAGTCCAGTGGACTATCCCTCCTCCCCAGCCAGCTTGTGGCTGCGGCCGCTGCCGCCCCCACTGCGCACAATCACATTCCTCGCCGGCCAGTCCGTCCGAGCCGTCAACGACGTAAGCGCGCGACCCTGACACCCGGCGCCTCTTGCGTGCTCCAGGCGCACGCGCGGACGGGGGATTGTCTACTCACACCTACCCCACCCCCTCTTCCCCCTTCGCGGACGCTCGGGATTTGCGCTTGCGCCAGCGGTGATGGGGAAACCTCAGTATATAAATAAATAAAATTTGAACCAGTGACTGTTGCTCGGGGAGGGGGAGCGGAGCAAGTCGCCGGAAATAATCCCTCTCTGTTAGTCAACTGAAATTGACATTCTACTTTGTCAGCTGTTGAGAAAGGTAGGCGCGCTCCCGCCCCGCCGCCGGCTCGCAGGGAGCGCGCGGCATCGGCCACGCGCCCCCTCCGTCCCCGGCCAGAGATCTGCGGCTCCTCCTACGTACTCCATTAGGCCGGCTCCGCCACACCCCCGCCCTTCTCCTGTCCCCGCCCCCGCACCCGGACCGCTCTCTCTTTCTCTTTCCTCCCTGCTCCTGCTCCTCCAGGGGGAGCTGGAGAGCGGGAGGGGAGCGGGGCTGGCGGCGGAGGGAGTCGCCCGTTGCTGGGCAGCCCAGGGCGGTCGGGAGCAGGTCGGCCGGCTTTGGCGGCCGCAGCATCCTTAGGGGCCTGGCCCCCTTCTGCGTGGGAGTCGTGCCGGAGCCTCTTCCAGGCCCGGGTCGTCGTGCTGGATTTCCCCAGGCCTGCGCCCCCGAAGGTCCGAGCGGAAATAACTGGAGGCTGGACCAGGTGCGCGCCCTGGGGCCGGGCCCTCGACGGACTGGCCGCCCGAGGTGCGTGATGGGGCCCCGGTCCCCGCGCCCCTGCCGGCCTTCCTTGGTGTGGAGCCTGGCCGGCTTCGTCCCAGGGCCTTTTCATTGATTCTTTGGGGCCTCAAGGACTGGGCGGCGGTGTGGGCAGGTGGCTGCCGCTCCGGGTGGTGGGTGAGTATTTAGGTCTGCAGCGCCTTCCCGGGCGCGCAGTCTGGGGAATTGGGGTCCTCCCTCCTTCCCACGGTCAGTGTTGCTGCTAATCAGCTCTCCCAGCCCCCTTGGCTTCCTGGAGGAGGATGCAAGATGTGGTTGTCAGAAATGGTTACTGTTACTTAGGCATTAAACATCCCTCTCTCCACGAATTCCTTTGGGTCCATCGAGGCAGTTTTGCTGTCACTTCCTGGCTTTCCTTTCTATCCTTCCCACCGTACCTTTTTTGGGGGGGAGGGGTAGAGCTGGACCGGAACTTAGATCAGTTTAGCATTCGAGGACTCTGCGTTGGATACATGCTTGAGACATGCCCTCGAGAAGCCTTCAGGGGAGATTGCAAATAGCCTATGTCATCTGTTCTGATGATTACGAGGACTAGCTAGGTGAAGGACTGGGAGGCAGAGAAGGAAGGCCACGACCGACTAGGGGAAAGGGAAGACTTCTTGCAGGAGGATGGCCTGGAACCTGGGAGTTTATAAAAAAACGATGGGTGAGGGGGCTGGGCAGAGGAGGGATGGATTGGATCATTGACCAGTGAGGTCATCCTGTCTGTGTTTTATTAATCATCTTCAGCAGCTAGAAGGAGAGAAACATTGTTGCGTGTTCTTTATGGTATGTTACCAAGGTCTTATTAGAAGGTTACAGAATTGCAATTCACTTGTTTATGGCCCTTGGATCATAGGTCAGCTTGAAAGAGTGCCTCTTCACTGGCTGTCCCCGCAATTCCTGGAATACTCTCCCTCTTCACCTCAGCCCCTAGCTTCCCTGACTTTCTTCCAGACTCACCTTTAAATCCCAATTTCAGCAGGAGGCCTTTCCTGTCCCTTCCCTCTTCTTTCATCCGTCAAGTGCTTTCCTTCTGAAATTACCTTACATTTACACTGTATATAATTATTTGAATATTGTATTCCCCATTAAAATGTGAGCTCCTTGAGAGTAGGAGCCTGTGATTTTGTATCCCCATTACTACCAACATTGCCTGGCACCTGGTAAGTGCTTACTAAATGCTTGGCTAACCGATTTTATCTTCTAATAATGTACTATATGAAAGGTTTAGTAGTTAGAATATTAGTGGATATAGAGCTGGACTGGACAGGGGAACAACTGGATTCAGTCCTCTCTTCTGATCCTCTTGGCTGTGTGAGATTGGGTAAATCATTTTATCTCTTAGTAGTGCCCCTAGGCATTTGTAAATTGTAAATTTGTAAAATGTGTATAACTACTCTTCTGCCTTGGTAGAGAGAATTTGCTTATTGGGAGTGAATGAAATCACAGGCCTGGAGAAAATGCCTCCAGTGGTAAATTCCACTGTCTGTTGACTTAGTTCAAAACAAATTTCTCCCAATTCTGCTTAGTTCATTTTCTTTGGCCATCTGCTGCTTCTTCAAGGTTGTTTCAGGTGAATAAATGCTTTTAAAATGGGATTTGATTTGGCTTAAAGCAGTTCCTTTGTGCCTTGCTTTATGCAAACTTTGTGGGCCTGTTTAGCAAGTATTTCTTTACTTTAACTCGATTTGCCAGGTTTAGACGGCCTTGATCGTCCATCATCTTTTATAAAGCTTGATTTCTTACCCACAATATGTTGGACTGTCTCCTTGTCTTCTCAGTGTTTCTTTGTGGATCCGCCTGCACTAGTGAAATGAAGTATGTTAAAGGCCCTCTGGGTGATTAAGAATGCCTGGTAAAGACCCATAGCTTACAAATTGCCTTATACTTGAGGGTAAAAGGCACTAATTTTTCCTTTGGAACTTACTTGAGGTACTTATGTAAAATGAGAAGGCTTTAGAGAAAACTCTGGAGATATGGAGAGTAGTTATCAGGACTACCTCTTTATCTGATGATAAGTAAACACTAATGTTTTGTGGAGCAAAGTTCTTTGCTTCTCTTCTGTCCCAGCAACACTAGAGCAGAAGTGGAGCACTTTGGATAAAGATTTTCGTGGTGTAGCATTCTTGGACTTTAGAGGAGGAGTCCAGCAAAATGACAGTGAAGCAGGGATAGGATTGTGCTGGGTCTAGTCATACTTTCGCTTCTCTTCTTTGTTAGATTTTTTAAGTCTCCACATATATAATAATGTCAAGCATTTTTAGAACCTTATGCTCCCCACAAAGCACTTTAACATCTCTTACCTTATCATGATCTTTCCTGAAATTCTGTAAGATAGATAGGGTCAGGATATTATCTCTAGTTTACATTTTAGGAAACCATAGCCCGACATAGAGATATACACAAAGTCTTGAGAGAACAGACTGTCTTGCTATTCTCTTTGTATCCCTGGCAGTTCGCATAAGTGCTATTCACTTAATAAGTGCTCAATAAATGCTTTTCATTCATTCATTCATTCCTTACAACTAGGTAGTAAAGACACTGTTCTTATTTCAGCTATGCCCTTGTTGTTGTATTGTTTTTCAGTCACATCTGACTCCTCCTCACCTCATTTGGAATTTTCTGGAGTGGTTTGCCATTTCCTTCTCCAGCTCATTTTACAGAGAAGGAACTGAGACAAACCCGGTTAAGTGACTTGCCCCAGGGTCACACAGCCAGTAAACCTCTGAGCTTATATTTGAACTCAGGTCTTCCTTACTCCAAGTCCAGCTCTCTATCCACTGTGCCACCTAACTGCTATGTAGGCCAAGCAAAAAGAGCTTTCTTTCTAAATAAGATTTTGTTGGAAAAAAGGTAGAGAATGAAAGCCTTCTTAGGTTCTTGGAAGCTGTTTCAGAATTGATATTAATGGGGCAGCTAGGTGGTGCAGTGGATAGAGCACCGGCCCTGAAGTCAGGAGGACCTGAGGTCAAATTCGGCCTCAGCCCAAACACTTGACACTACCTGTGTGACCCTGGCCAAGTCACTTAACACCAATTGCCTAAAGAAGCAAAAAAAAAACCCCAAAAAAACAGAATTGATATTAATACCAAATCTTCAGCTTCCAATGCACTGAATCTTTGCAGTAAATTTTTTACTTTTCTCCATCCTTTTTCCTCAGCCATTTAATTAATTGCACTGAGTTTCCTGCAAAATATGTCTAAATTTGACCCTGTCTCCTCCATAAAGCCTTTCCAAAGTAAGGGCAATGGTAATTCATGGCATCCTTCCTCTCCCCCTCCCCCCAACATTGTTTGACCTGTCAGCTCAAATAATTCCCTCTTCACTCTTTCTTGAATAAAATACTTGCAACACTTGTAATACAGGAGCCCACAACTAGCTGATCAAGATCAACTGGTAGATCTCCAACCCTTACGCAATAGATCTCAGTTCATTGGCATTCCCAGAGGTAAGAACAAGTCGGGCAACCATCCACTTCTCCTTATTCCAAGGTAATATATACTGTCAGTAATTCCCCACTCTTTTTTAGTCGGTATTTTCAGTGATTCTTCCACTTGAGTATTTAGCTGTCAGCATCTCTTTTGTCCTAAATTTTCAAAACTTTAGGAAGTGAAAACTAGCCCCTCATAGAAAGATCAGGAACTGCTGCCCTTTTTTAATGTAAATGATTTTATATATTTAACTCTTAAGGTAGTCCTAGTTCTGTGTGTCTTCTTGCGCATGTGTATGAAGCCAAGTCTTAAAATTGTAAATATATGGAGATCATTTAAGTATATATGTGATTTACTTTATACAATGACCAGTTCAATTCCACTTAACAATTACCATGTCTCAGAGGAGAGAGAAATGTAATCACACCCTATCACATTCATTAGTGAATATGAAATTTTCCTATTTTCAGAAAATGTTTATAAGTAGTAATAATGGTATTTTTTAACTTTGCAAAGTTATTCTATTTGATCCATATTCATAACAGTGCTGCTAGGTAAGTAGCCTTGTTTCTGGAGTTGAATCCTTTTTCCTATAATGTCTTCATTCTGTCCTTGTCATTGGAAAAAGACAAAATAAGGAAAAATTCACTTCTCCACCACTTATAATTTGACTTCTGACCTTAGTGCCTGGCATATAGTAAACACTTAATAAATGTTTATTGGTTAATTATCTCTCAACTGAAATTACTTTCTCCAAAGTTAATAATGATCGCTTAATTGTCAAATCTAATAGCATTTATTGAACTAAGCATAGCGTTAGATATTGTTCACCTCTTCCTCCTAGGTACTCCTTCCTCTCTAGATTTTTGTGAGACTCATTTCTTTTGGTTTCCTAACTATCTGTCTACTCCTTCCTAGTTTTCTTTGCTGGAATAACTGTGGGTGTATTCCATGGCTTTTACCTAGGTCATCTGCTTTTCTTTTTCATTTTTTTTTTTTTTAGGCATTTGAGGTTAAGTGACTTGCCCAGGGTCACACAGCTAGTACGTGTCAAGTGTTTGGTCTGAGGCCAGATTTGAACCCAGGTCCTCCTAACTTCAGGGCTGGTGCTCTATCCACTGTGCCACCTAGCTGCCCCAGTTATCTGCTTTTCTTTGTCTGCTCTCTGTAGTCACCCTTGAATTATCATCTCTGTGCAGATGACTTCCAGACCTATATATCCAACTCTTGTTTTTCTTCTAAGTTCCAATCCTATATTATCAACTGCCATTTGGACATTTTGAACTGGATTTCTCAAACACATCTCAAACCCAGAATGTCCAAACAAAAGTCATTATCTTTTCCTTAAACTCAACCACTCTAACTTCCCTATTTCTGTCAAAGGCACCACTTTTCCAGGTTTGCACCATAGATACCTCCTTGTCTCTTCATTCTCTTTTATCCTCTATGTCTAATAAGTTACCAAATCTAACATTTCTCTAATCTACTGCCTTCTGTCCACTACACAGCTACCACTATAGTTCAAGTTTTCACCACCTCTCACCTATTGCATTT